CCTTGTGTTGTTTGATTTTGTGATGCGCTACGTTAGTGCTCAACATGTAGACGTATGTACCATCTTCAGCCGCTTTAGCAATAACCTTCCCTCCATCATAATATTAGTAGAGGGGACGCTCACTGATGATTGTACAATGTTCAGTAACATTTGCGACTTCTGAGATATTGAAGCAGTCCAGTCTATATATGGCAGGACGTGGGGAACATTCAGGTTTGGGCTGATAAGTGGAAAGTACAATTTCTGCCACATGTTTTGGCAACAGCCATCTCCAACACAAAAGAATTAATGACCAATCTCCCCTTGACATTCAATGATCTTACTCTGGTTGAATCCCCTACTATCAACATCACTGGAGTTACCAGAAACTGAGATGAACTAACCACATAATCACTTTGATTACAATAGCAGATAAGAGGTTGGGACTCTGTGAAGAGTGACTCGTCTCCTGACTCTTTGAGAATTGCCCAAAGGCCCAAGTCAGGAGTGCGATAGGGTACTCTTCACTTGCCTAGATTAGTGCAGCTCCAACAACATTCAAGAAGCTCAATACTATCCAAGACAAAATCAGCTTCTTGACAGATGCCTGACCTACCATTTTCAATGTACATTCTCTGCACCATGGACCCACAGGGCATCATCGATATGACACACTGCAGCAACTCAGCAAAACTGCTCTGCAGCACCTCCTAAACACCTGACATCTGTCGTCTACAAGGACAAGGGCAACAAATGTACGGGAATGCTGCCACTTGCAGGTTTCACTCCAGGCCACACACCATTCCAACTTCTCCTTCACTTATTATTGGATCAAAATACAGGAACTCCGTTCCTAACAGCACATGGATCTACACTACATGGACTGCAGCAGTTTAAGTATTTTGTTCACCACAGACCTTCTCAAAGGCTACTAGAGATGACCAAATACTGACCTAGTCATCAACACCCACATCCTCTGAAAAATTAGTAAAAATGTTTGTAAATAGTCCATGGACAGCAACATATAACGTTAGTCCTAGGGAATGGGAAAATTTTCCTTTTTATAGGCACCTATTCTCAGCATCACCCTCTGTAAAGTTTACAATAAACTTTCTTAACTCTTTCCCAATAAATTTCCAGAATTCCTACTCAACTGATGACATATTTCCATCTCCCAGTGTGCCTCTCTGACAAATGTGGTTGGCAAGGTCATAATTCAATGCAAATTTATTTAGTGCAAATTTACCAGTTAGTAAACTCCTCTGTTAGCTGCCCATATTCAATCTGAGCATGACATTTGCAGGCAGCTAACAGTGGAGATGCTCTTCCCATTATTTTACATTGATTGTGAACTCAGGCCATTTGGGTGCAAGGGTAGAGTTCAACCCAGTGCAGTACTCGCCCCATGATTTAATAGATTTTGTTGCTGATCATTGCAGTTAAATTTTATGTTAAGATTATCTTCTCTCTGATCCTAAAAACATTCCACTAAACTGCAAGCTTAAACTAAACGGATACTTACACTATCGAGAGTTACAGAAACATGCAGAATCTGCTCACCACCAAACCGTTGTAATGTTCTGAGACAGTACCATAGCTTCAGGAGAAACAAAAAAAAAAGAGGCTGTCACAAAAATAATGCTGCAGTTAACAAGAACAGATCATGTGCAACGCTGCAGTAGGAGGAGGATGAAAATTGTTAATAAAGAGAACCTGGAAGAAAAACTTGAAAGGTGTGATGAGGTGACGGGGGTGGTGACTGGAGGTATGGTGGAAGAACAATGGAAGGGCTTTGGAGGTGATGTGGAAACGATGCTTTCAGTGTTCTGGTGGATTTTGAAGAGGTGAGCTAAGATGAAGAAGAGATAAGGAAGGTGATTCAGCATTAGTTTGAATAGTTGGGCAAGTATCAAAAGATGAGATAGATTTTAAGAAGCTGAGTAAAATCAGGTAAAGTTGCTAGGGTTTTGAGTGAGGCAAGAAAGCTGTGTGAAAATGGTATTAAACATGTAGATTTTGAAGATCAGAGCGAAGATATGGTAAAGTGTAAATTTGGTGACTAAGAATGAGCTTGATGAGGTGAGTGAAGAGATGGTGTGAGTGAAGATGGAATTGAAAATGTAGGTCTTTAAGGATGTGAGTGAAGATGGAATTGAAAGGATTGGTTTTGAGGAATGAAGACAAGATGGCACAAAATACTGGCATCAAAACCCTTTATAGGTTCTTGGAGTGTGGTGAGTTAAACTTGGTACATAGGCTATGATATTTCAAATGCATATTTTTCATCAGATCATCACATCCAACACATCCCAACTTATATCTTCTCTTTACAAGTGCTGAATGACCAAGAATGGAAGCTCTGGGACTGAGCTAGTTGATTTATAGGATATAGATTTGCATAGTTTTAGTGATAGCCTGGATTTAGATGGCATTGATAACCTGGGTTCATATTACTGTGCTACCTAAAATTTCAATATGATGAGCAGAAAGTCGATGCTCATCACCAGTTGGAAATGAACTGTCTGTCATTTTGCTATTGGCTAAAATATAAATTTCCCGGAAAATCATGTCTACATGCTGCCTAAACTAGTCCTGAAAGGGACTGCTGCAGGCTACCAACAGGAGCACAAATTTCTAAAATATGAACATTTTCTGTAGGTCAATGGTACAGCAGTAATTCCCTTGGCTCCAGATTAAAACCACTGGTCACGGCTTTCCAACACCTGTCTTGTGTCTCAATTGCCCCCACATCTCCAGTCCTGGTTCACTGTCATATTTGTGGATTGCTTCTCCTTTCCAACTATGCACCCCATTCCCCGGCAATCATTCTCTTCTCCTCCTTGAGCATGAATTTCTGTCAACCTTGCAGCAGTCTGAGTCCATGTATTCTCGCAAAGACCTGGATTTATGTGGTTTTATTGTTTAACGTAGTCTTAGTTTGTGAATCTGGTTCTGGGCTCTTAAGATCAGGAATAAACAGATACTTAGCCTCACACTGTTGCTGAGTAACTGGATTATTAGCTCTGACTCTTGGATGCCTGAACTCTGCCCTAAACAGTATTCCTTCAAAGTCCTGTCAAAAAAAAGCTTTCTGACCTGGAAATTCAGGACTGATCCCAGAACTTGAGTTGGTGGTCCTGAGCTACAAAAGCAATTTGGCCTCAGATTTTGATAGTTTGAGTCTGGCAGGCTTCAGAAACAAACTGAACTTCCCAATGAAGAATGAAGAAGCTGGGATTAGGAGAGTGATTGGAGGGGATTCCAGTATACAGTTAGAAAAGGAACAAATCAGGAGCAGGACAATAAACCAGGAGATTTGGCAGCAATTGCGATACAGAAGTACTGATGGACCAGTGATTTTAACAACCGATGATTTTAATGTGGTGCCAACAGAATTACTATTGTACGTTTGAGCTCTACAAAAAAAGCTTATTTTTAACAAATGTATGTTCCTGTTGATGGCCTACAGCAGTTCTTTTGAGCACTACAGGTTAGGCAGCACGTGGAATGATTTTTTGAAATCTACATTTTTGTTTGATACAAAAATGACAGACACTTCACTTCTAGTTGGCTATGAGTATCCTTACTTCATGCTCAACATATTGGAATATTAAACACCCTGTTCAACTATCAATAGCAGGTGTCTTAAAGTGCTGTAAATCGTTATTGCACATGGAAAGCAAGATATCGAGAATGGGGAAGGAAAAAGGAAAAATGAAAGTAGAAAAGACAACATTTGTCCTTACAAAAAAAAAAATACTCTTCAGTCATGAAAATAATTGAAGTTTAGTCATTTTGACTTGACTTACAGAATAATTAAAATATAAAACATTGTACCCATGCACAAGTTATAGCACAGATGTATTTTAGGAGAAGCTAGATAAATATCTGCGGATCAAAAAATAGGCAAATGCACTGATGGGGTTGGATGAAAGGGGTAGAAACAGACTCATGTCTCCCATAAATATAGTTGTGTCAAAGGTCCTTTTCTTTTGTATTCATTTCATTTAACTCATCAACATATTCATTGAGCAGGCCTAAAAGTAATGTTTACTTTTAGATACACTGGCTATTCTTCTACTCACCTCCCCTTTCCCAGGAAGTAACACATTCACTTCTGTGACTCCAGCGTCAGTCACTGGATGCACCAGCAAGGCTTCTCCTACAGATTACAAGAACATTATATCAATTATTGAATTTACGAAAGGTCTTCCAGTGCGTATTGCGTTATGATATTTTTGAAAGCTTCCTTCTCCCTAATCAGAGGGATGTAAATGGATCATTTCTACTGGGGAAGATACCTTCATCCTCATCAGAATGAAAAGATCTTCATCGGGGCTTTAACTGGAAAGTGTTTCAGCCAGAAGAGTCAAAATTCACAAGCATCATCTCTATCAGTGAGAAAAACGTTGTCCATTTTCAACAGTGAAGATAATGACTTTTTGGGAATGATGACCTCTTTTATAAAAAAAAAATATTTATTTAATTTTTGAAGCACATTGTCTAGAGCATTTTTAAGCAAAGATACTCTGCTCACCAGATGGGGTAAGAAAAATCCATTGACTACAGTATGGGAAGAGGCCATTCAGCCCATCAAGTCTGCACCAACCCTCTAAACATCACCTCACCCAGATCCATCTAACCTACACATCTTTGGACTGTGGAAACAAACTGGAGCACCTGGCAAAAACCCACCCAGACAACAGAACATGCAAACTTCACACAGATAGTCACCCGAGGCTGGAATCAAAGCTGGGTCCCTGACACTGTGAGGCAGCAGTGCTAACTACTGAGCCACTACACCGCCCGCTCTTAAAGCTGCTGTTCAGACGTAACATGACAGCAGCCACTTATGGTACGATGAATAAGAAAAAACATTTTGCAGCATATTTGGTAATGTCAAGTACCACCTACCTATTCACGCTCTTGGTATTTTAACTTTTAGGTCACCTAATTATATTAGTGGAATATGTTCTCAGCCTGTTTTATATTGGTTATTTTCAATTTGTTCACTTTCGTTCTGTTCAGGTCACTTCAAAACTCGTACCTTGACCTGGTCTACAGAAGACAAGTGACCTGCTCTCAGCTAAAGGACCCTTATAAACTGCCTGTAGAAATTACAAGAAATCAAAGGGAGATACTTGCTATCTGCCTATCTTTGTCTGGAAGTCCTTGTTTTGATCCTATCCTGATGGCATGGTTACAATCAGGAGTTAGATATGGGGCAAATGTGGGCACAAATTGTCATTAAATTTGTCATAATGCTAGGCTGTTCTGCCATAACCCTCTAAACCTCTCCTTTTCAAGTATATAACAAATTTTCTCATGAAAATTGCAAATGATTTTGCTGCTACCACCTGCCAACTCACTGTGTAAAAATTTCTGCCTTGCATTTTTGCCAATATCCTCATATCTTTTCCACCTAGTTACCAACCTTTCGATCAATGAAAAACATTTCTCCCCATCAAAATTCCCCACTTAATTCTGAACCACTATTAAATATTCTCTTAACCATACATAGGATCAGGAGTAGCTCTTTAAGCCAATGAGCTGATCATTAATTTGTATTTTAATCCTATCCATTCATCTTGGCTCCCAATCCTCATTACCTTTGCCTCAAAATTTATTCATCTCAGCCTTGAAACTGTCAAATGACTTTCAGCCTCAACTTGGGAAAAGAGCTCTACGATCGTTCTTTGCATTACCTATCATTACCCTGAACAGACTTCTCTTTACTACTTCCTGTTAACTGACAGTTACATTCTTCACCTCCTATATCTGCACTTTCCTCTCATATATAACTACTCTGGAAAAAAACTACTCAGAAATTCCTCTCCCTCCCTTATGCCGTCAAAGTATCTCAAAAATCACAACTCCAGGACCATCCTTACAGATATCCTCTGAATCCTCTTGACACTCTTCCTGAGTGTGGTCCAGAATAGGGCACAATAGACTAGATTAAACCATTAATTTTATGGTACACACTGTAATACCTTTCTTTTTATATCCTATGCCTCTACTTGCAAAGTCATGGATCCTATGTGCATTTGAACAGCCTTATTAACTTGTCTTACAAGCTTCAAACATTTGCATGTGTGAACTGTCTCTTCGTTCTTGTATCCCCAGTAAAACTGTACCATTTGCACTGCTCTGCATGTGCATGCTTGTTTCACAGCTGTGGCTTAAGGTCTTCTGCTGTTCTTAGAGTTTAAAGCCTAGACTGGTCACATATTGTGTGTGCAATTAACAATTGAGGTTGTCACAGACTGCTATATACTGTACCTATCATGTATTCATCATCAACTGCAAATGTGTTGACCTCCTCAGGAAAATTCACCCATAAAGGTCTATGAAGGAAAATGCCACAAATCACTTACTCTCATCACAAAGGAATAGCATTCAGTGAGTTCAAAGAAAAATTGAGATCTTACATTTGACAGCATTTAAAGCTGGGTACTAAAAATGGAGAACAAAATCCATTTATACAGCAAGAAAAGAATCTTTACTCAGGTCATAAACATTATTTAAAAGCATTGCAGTTGAGCCGAGCATTGTCAATTCCCAGCACCTCAGATGTGGATTGTTGTTTTGTAATTCACTGCCAAAATAACATTAAGAGGAAGGAAAGCCAATTATAGCATCAAAATAGAGGTTTAAGCGATATTTTGAGAATCATCCATTAATCAATGTTTTGAGTGAAAGCTCCGAGGTTAACAGAGTTTATTGGACAGTCAGTGAGGTCAATCCAACAGCAAAGTAAAATGACCATTAGGGTGAGAGGACTACTGGTACCCAAGGAACGGGTACATAACAAACGTCAATACCTCCCATAAGAGATGGAGGGGAGAATTGAGCATCAGTTCCTTATTCACCATTCTAGGATGCCAGAAACTAAACATAAATACCTTAGCCTGATTAGAACCTCCCATCTTGTAATTCATTTAATTAAGCACTCTGTAACTCACCATAAGCCAACAAACATCATACATTTATTGAAAATATGGATGAGGTGCGTGTTGTTTACCTGATTACTGGCTCTGCTTTGGTATGGGCCATGTAGAAGAGAGTGTACCAGAATGGCAACAAGGCATATCGTTCTCGAATTGTTTCCCGGATAATCCTAGTGTTATCCTCTCCGAACAACCAAGGCTCTCGTCGCTTTGTTTCTGTGTTGGAATGGTTCCTGAAGAAAGGCTGGTATGCAGCAGCCTGGTACCAGCGAACAAGGAGTTCTGGCTCAGGATTCTGTGCAAATCCACCTATGTCAGCTGAGGAAACAAAAATTTTGTGAAGGTCAGAAAACAGAACAGAGGGCAGGGTCTGATATCTTACATCTTGAACATTCTCACCTTTTCCAAGGAATTTTGAACAGACACAATTCTTTGAAAAACCAGGAGGTGGGAGGTTTTTGAAATCACTGCCATGTTAGAGTATATGAAGATGAACTTATCACAATGAACATTATACAGAAGTAGATATGATTGAACATGTGACATTCCTTCTCTGCTCAGAAACAGTCATGGATGAGTTAATGGAACATGGAAAACAATTTATCATCCAAAACATTTGGTAATTCTATTTGGTAATAGAAACATGGAAACTTACAATACAGGAGTAGGAATAGGCCATTTGGTACTTTGAGCCTGCTCCACCATTCAATATGATCATGGCTGGTCGTCCGACTCAGTATCCTGTTCTTGCCTTCTCTCCAATTCTTTTGCTAAGAACTATATCTACATCTTTTTTGAAAGATTTCAATGTCGTGGCCTCAACAGTTTCCTGTGGCAGAGAATTCCACAAGGTCACCACGCTCTGGGTGAAGAAATCTTTCCTCATCTCTGTCCTAAAAGGCCTACACTTATCCTGAGACTGTAATCCCTGGTTCTGGACTCCCTGGTCATTGAGACATGGAACAAATATTTTAAGTTTTCCAAATCCTCAGACCTAATGGCCTTCATCCTAGGAATCTAAAAGGATAGCTGGAGAGATAGCAAATGCTCTGGCTTTGATTTTCTGAAATTTGCTAGATTCTGGAACAGTCTCAGCAGATTGGAAATTGACAAATCTAATACCACTGTTCGAGAAAGGAGACAGAGAGAAAACACCAAAATATAGAGCAGTTAGACTGACATCAGTCATCAGGCAAGTGCTGGAATCTACCATTAAGAAAATCTTCACAATGCACTTAGGAAATCATTGTACAATGAGGAAAAGGCAACATGGTTTTACGAAAAGTGAAATCATGTTTGACACATGTACTGGAATTATTTTAAAGATGTAACTTGTAGGGAAGATAAAGTGAAACCAATAGAATACCTGAATTTCCAAAAGGCTTCAATAAGGAGCCACACAAAAATTATAGGCAAGATAAAGGCTCATGGAGTTGAGTGTTATATGTTTGTTGATTATATGAATCAGGATCTGGAGGAGGCCAGTCAGCCCCTTGAGTATGGACCACCATTTAGTAACATCATGGCTGATCTGATTGTAACCTCAAATCCAAATTCCTGCCTACCCTCATAAACTTTCTCCCCTTAGTTTAACAAGAATCTATCTACCTCTGCCTTAAAAATATTTAAGGACTCTGTGTCCATGAACTTTTCAAGAGGAGAGTTCCAAAATAACACAACGCTCAGATAAAAAAGGACCAATCTCGATTTTAAATGAGCCACCATTGATTTTTAAACAATGATCACAGATTCAGGTTTGGTTAACAGACAGAAAAGAAACATTATCCATAAATGGGGAATTATCAACTTGGAACACTGTACCTAGTGGAGTGCCATAACGATAAATGCTGGGGTTTAACCTATTTACAATCTTAATGACTTAGGCAAAGACTAATGTATCTAAGGTTACTGACAATACAAAGCTAGCTGGTAATGTAAGATTTGCAAAAACGTATATATACAGGTTAAGTGAGTAGACAACAGGGTGGCAGACGGAGGGTAAAGTGGGGATAATGTGTGGTTACTCATTTTGGTCACTACAAATAGAAAAGTTAATTTTTTTTTAACATGTGAAACTTGTAAATATTGATGTTCAGAGAAATGCTTCATACAAGAAACACAAAGTTTGCATGTGGTTACAGTAGGCAAGCAAAGCAAATGTTCACCTTTATTGCAAAAGGACTGGAATACAGGAATAAAGAAATCTTGCTGCAGGTATACAGGCCTTGGGGAGGCCACACCTGGAATATTACAGGCAGTTTTAGTCTCCATATTTAAGGACATACAAACTTCTGCTGGAAACAGTACAGTGAAGTTTTACTGAACTGGTCCCTAGGATGAGAAGACTGCCCTATGAGGAAAGGCTGAGTAAAGTAATTTTCTGGAATTTAGAACAATGAGAGGTGATTGGACTGAACTTACACTCTGGGCTTGACAGGTTAATAAAAACTGAAAGGTTGTTTCTGCTGCCTAAGGGATGTAAAAACATGGGGGCACAGTCTCAGGATAAAGAAGTAAATCAGTTAGGAGTGAGAAAAGGAGAAAATGTATTCACTTAAAAGGTTGTGAATTTTTGAAATTCTTTACGCTAGCGGGTTATGGATGCTCCATCAATGAGTACATTTAAACATAGAAACATAGAATCCAGACAGTGCTGGAAGAGGCCATTCAGCCCAGAGTCTGCACTGAACAGCATTCCACCCATAACCTCACATTTTTACCACAGCTAACCCACCTCGCCTATATTTCCCCGCACACTATGGGGCAATTTATCATGGCCAATCCATCTAGCCTGCACACCTTTGGATGGTGGCAGCACCTGGAATAAACTCACACAGACACGGGGAGAATGTGCAAAGTCCACACAGACAGTCACCATAGGCCAGAATTGAACCCAGGTCCCTGACACTGTCAGGCAGCAGTGCTAACCACTGAACCACCATGTCAAGAGTTTTGGTCTCTCAGAGAGCTAAGGGAAATGAGGAGAGGGTAGGATCATGGAATTGAAGTCCAAGATCAGCTACGATCATACTGAAAGCTAGACCAAGCTCCATAGGCCATATGATCCATTCCTGCTCCAACCCTTTGTTTTCATGCATTGACTCTTACCTCCACAGAAGGAGATTCCAGTTATACTGAGATTAAGTAGCATCGGGATTGAGATTTTAAGGTAACTCCATTCAGCTACATTGTCTCCTGTCCATACAGCTCCTAATAAACAGAATACACTCAGAATGAGAATGCAGTAAAGCAGGAAATAATAATCTTTGTCTTTGTACACATTTCAGTTTTCTCCTCTTTTGGGCAATTGATTCCTTCTGCTGTTCACTTCCACAGGTCAGTCATTCTGGCACCTTAACAAAGAGAGCTTTCTTTCCATATGAACCTTGATGGTGAGTACTGGGAAGCTCTTTCATAATAGTGAACATCAAGCCAGCCTGATCCTGTCCATAGTGGACAAGTACCAATGGTTATTTTTCCAGTCCAGTATTTAGCAACGGAAAGCTTGGTGATTTTGCCCTGTGTCACAGGCCAAGTGTAGCATCATGGAAATGACAAAAGCTTGTGTAGGAGCATGATCAAATATCTCGCTGGAGCTTCAGAAGGCAAATGGATTAGTGGCTGGTAATCACCATAGGTTTATAAAGTGACCACATTTGGAGACAGTCAGTATTTAGAATCAGGTATTGAAACTGCCATCATAGTCCAATGAGTCAGGCCTATTGATCTATCAAGTCTCATCAAGCCTCCTCAGGGCTTGGGAAAATTTCTTCTCCATTCACCTGGAAAGTCCTGGAGAGAGGCGCACAACCTCAGCTCAGCACTGAGAAAGAAATATTGCACCATGGGTAAACATGGAATTTTGTGCCTGCAACAAATTTCCAAACAGATAATAAAATCTGAATTGAATTCAGAAAGGTTGAGTGGCTCTTGAAACCTAGAAGGATTACACAATATTTGTGCCAATGTTATCCCAGTTCCCAAGCTGGATCTCCAAAGAAGTTTGCTTGATGCATCTGAAGCTTTAAATTGCACAGGTGATCACAGATAGAGCAGCATATCTACATGGTCAGCAAAAACTGCTTAGCTGTCCTAAGCTGCCTGTATTCTGCCATTCTTGCCACAGCAAAATGGGTATTTCTAACTGTCACTGAGATAAGATTCAGACTTTTATGCCAGACATTCCCTTTTCAATACTGTCACTGCAACAGTTCAGAAAAACATCAGACAGGATCATTTCCAAACCTACTAAGTGGAACATGAAACAGTCCCTTTTCAGCTGTTACACCAGCACCATCCCTCACCTCTTCCTCAGCTACACTGATGATTGTATCGGCGCTGCCTCGTGCTCCCACGAGGAGCTTGATCAGTTCATCAAGTTTACTAATACTTTTCACCCAACTTCAAATTCACCTGGGCCATCTCTGATACCTCCCTCCCCTTCTTGGACGTCTCCTTCTCTATCTCTGGTAACCGTCTCAACACTCACATCTATTTCAACCCCACCAACTCCTATAGCTAACTGGACTACAACTCCTCTCACGCACCCTCCTACAAGAATCTCTGAAGTCCTTCTATTTCAAGGACTGCAACATCCGCCCCACCGGTGATCAAAAATGCCCTCAACCGCATCTCTTGCATTTCCCACACTTCTGCCATCAAACCCCTCTCCCAACAAAAGTAAAGACAGAATCCCCTTGGTCCTCACATACCACCCCACCAACCTCTGCATCCAGCGTATCGTTTTCCAACACTTCTGCCACCTCCAATCCAACCCCACGACCAAACAGATATTTCCTTCCTCAACCCTCTGCCTTTCGTAGGGACTGCTCACTCCGTGACTCCTTCATCCGCTCCACATTCCCCACTAAACCCACCACACACGGCACCTTTCCCTGCAACCGCAGGAAGTGCTACATCTGGCCCTACACCTCCCCCCTCACCTTCATCCAAGGCCCAAAGCAAACCTTTCATATCTGACACGGGTTCACCTGTACATCCTCCAGCCTGATCTGCCATATCCGTTGCTCCCAATGTGACTTCCTCTACATCAGTGAGACCAAGCGCAGACGCGGGGACCGTTTTGTGCAGCATCTGCGCTCTGTATGCAATAAATCAACACCACCTTCCGGTTGCCAACTGTTTTAACTCCCCCTCCCACTCCCTGAGTGACATGTCCATCCTGGGCCTCCTCCAGTGCTACAATGATGCCACCTGCAAACTGGAGGTGCAGCACCTCATATTCCGCCTCGGGAACCTACAGCCCGTTGGCCTTAACATTGAATTTTCCAGGTTTAAAATGTCCCCAACCCCAGGCTCATCCCACGTCCAAACCTCCCTCTCATCCCCACCTCCTTGACCTGACAGAACCTCTCCATCTTCTTCCCCACCTATCTGCCCTACCCTTCCCACCGCCCAATTCCCACCACCCCCAACCTGCATCCACCTATCTCCAACCCATCTATCTTCCCCAGCCCCAACGCATCCTCCCTCCCGCCTCCTTGACCCCACACAACCTGTCCATCTTCTCTCCCATTTTTCCGCCCCACCCATCCCACTGACCAATCTCCACCACTCCCTACCTGCATCCACCTATCACCATCCCACCTACCTTTCCTCAGCCTCACCGCTGCTCCCTCTAATTACTTCCCAGCTCCCTTCTCCCTCCTCATTTCTGAAGAAGGGTCCCAACCCCAAATGTCAACTTTCCTGCTCCTCTGATGCTGCCTGACCTGCTGTGTTCCTCCAGCTCCACACTGTCTCTGACTCCAACATCTGCAGTTCTTGCTATCTCCAAGTGGAACAAACAGAGTATTATACATTTGGACACCGTAAGGATGAGTTTCCATGAGCATTGTAGTATTATCAACCACAACATTTGGAGAATTCCACAGAGATTCACTGCCAGCGTACACCAGATGACCCTCGTACGCGTTTCTCTAAATTACTGAAAGATTCAGCACGCTCACAGGTTCATACCGCAAACAAAAACTGAAAGTGCTGGAGAAACCCAGTAGCTCTAACAACATCTATAGGAGAGAAAAACAGAGTTAACTCTTCAAGTCCAATGACCCCTCGATAGAATTAAAGATAGCTGGTGGTATTTATGCTGACGACAGTGTGAGGTGGGGTTGGGGGTGAATGTAGTGTGCAAAGTGTATGAAGATGGTGCCCAGAGAGAAACAGAGAACAAAAGTGGGATACAGAAACAAAGAGATTGCTGCTGATTAGCCGAGAGAGGGAGAAATGCTGGGTAGGGTGCTAAGGAGAAGTGTATGGTTGAAAGTGGGTTGGCTGTGCTGGGAGTGATCCATCCAAAACAGGACCTAGGAACATCAGTCTTAGTCCTGTCAGCAATAAAAACAAAGTTGCTGGAAAAGCTCAGCAGGTCTGGCAGCATCTGTGAAGGGAAAAACAGAGTTAACGTTTCGGGTCCGGTGACTGTCGGGTCAATTCTGAGGAAGGGTCACCGGACCCGAAACGTTAACTCTGTTTTTTCCTTCCAGAACTGCTGAGCTTTTCCAGCAACTTTGTTTTTGTTTCTGATTTACAACATCTGCAGTTCTTTCAGTTTTTATTTAGTCCTGTCAGCTCCTGACCACTTACCATATCTCTGTGATCCAGCAAAGAAGGAACGAGTCAAGACAAATGGCCTCTCCATTCCTCCAGATCGACGAATCAGACCTTCGGCTGTTGCCCATTGCTGGTGCAAAACACACAGAAATATAAGGTCAGCTGTAGTTGGTTTTAATTTTTTAGAGAACAAAAGTTTAAAAACTGCTCCAACTCAGGAAATCTAATAGTGATATTGGAGTATCTATCTGGTCCCATTCTACCAGTTAAAGGAAATCTCCCGTTTACAAGAATCTCAATTTCAGGGTTCTGGCTCTAGATCTTTAGAATATGGATGATGGTGGTTTATCCAGCCTGCCCCACACAGTTGTGATGCCTTCTGCGTCACAATATGTGTATTCTCCACTGCCAGGGAGCATCTGGCCATCCAGGTTGATTTGGAAGAAAACCTGAGCAATTCCTCCTTGACTACAAGCCGATGGAGCTGTAGGCTGACAGGTCCTTGGATCCTGATGGACTTCATCCTAGATTCTTAAAAGAGGTGCCTAACAAAGTAGTAACAAATGTGTCAGTGTTAATTTTGCAAAATTCTCTAGGGTCAGGAAAGGTTCTATCAGATTGGAAGGTATAGCTTAATTTCTGCTGTCAAGAAGGAAAGGAGGCATTAAAAGGGAAACGGTAGACCAGTTAGCTTGAAGTCTATTGGGGTAAAGTATTGAAATCAGTCATTAAGCAGTTTACAGTTATGCACTCAGAAGGAGTCAAGGTAATAGGGAAGAGTCAACATAGTTTTGCAAAATGGAAATCATGCTTAATCAACTTATTAGAGTTCACTGAAGGAAAAGAATGTAATGTGGATAAAAAGAAGCCTGATGATGCACAGTGCTTGGATTTCCAAAAGTCATTTGACAATCTGCCACATTAACAGTTATTTCAAAATTACTCCCAGAAATTATGCATAATTGAGTTTCTTTCTGCCTGTCAGGATGAGATTAATAGAGTACTGCAAGGATCTATGCTAGGGTCTCAGCTTGTTAACAATTTATATCAATGACTTAGAAAGGACAGCAAAGCCATGGTAGCTAAATTTGCAGATAGGTGGGAACATGTGTCGAAAAGAGGACATAACAAGGTTGTAGATGAACATAGAAAGATTGAGTGAGTGGGCAAAAATATTGTAGGTGCAGTATACTATGGGAAAATGTGAAGTTGTTCATTTTGACAGAAAAAAATGAAGTGGCAGGAGTATGACTAAAATAGAGAATGACTACAGAACCCAGCCGTTGTGGTGCACAAGTCATGAAAAGTAATGCAAGTACAGCAAGTAATTAAGATAACTAAGAGAGTTCTATCTCTGATTATGAGAGGAACTGAACATTAAAAAAAAGGATGTTATGCTTTAGTTTTATAGGGCATTGGGGAGACCCCATCTAGAGTAGTAGTGTGTACAGTTTTGACTTATTTATGGAAGGGTATAAAGGTATTGGAGGTAGTTCAGAAAATGTTTGCTATATTGATAGCTTGAATGAGCAAATTGTCTTATGAGGAATGTTAGAATAGTAATTTATTATCAGTTGCATTTTTACAAAAACTACAGTGAAAAAAGTATTTAAGTCACCATACGCAGACTGGGCTTGTTTGTACTGGAATTTAGAAAAGTGAGGGGATGACGTGATTGAAGCATTTAAGATTCTGAAAAGTCTTAACAAGGTGGATGTGAAAAGGATATTTCCCTTTATGGGTGAGTCCAGAACTGGTGGGAAATGTTTAAAAATTAGATGTCTCCCTTTTAGGACAGAGACAAAGAGAATTCTTTGCTTTTAGCGAATTATGTAACTTTGGAACTCTCTCAAGTGGATTTAAATGGATTCTTGTTAGGTATGGGAATCAAAGGTTATCAGATTATCATTTAAAATTCATGCCACACAAATGCCAAGCACTGACCATCTTCAATAAGAGACAATCTAACCACTGGCCCTTGATAGTCAATGGTGCTACCATCACTGAATCACTATCAACAGCCTGGGAATTACTATTGAGCAGAATCTCAACTGGAGTCACCATATAAATACAGTGGCTACATGAGCAGGACAGAGCTAGGGACACCACCATGAGTAACTCACTTCCTGGCTCCCCAAAGCCTGTCCACCTTCTGCAAGGCACAAGTCAGAAGTGTGATTATTCCCCACTAGCCTGGATGGGTGCAGCTCCAACAACATTCAAGAAGCTTTACAACATCCAAGACAAAGCAGCCCCCTTGACTGGCACCACATTCACAAGCATCTACTCACTGCATTGTTCATGTTCAGTAGCAGCAGTGTACACCATCTATAAGATGCACTGCAGAAATTCACCAAAAATCCTTGGACAGCACCTTCCAAACCCATGACCACATCCATCTAGAAGGACAAGGACAGCAGATACATGGGAATACCACCACCTGCAAGTTCCCCTCCAAGTCACACACCATCCTGACTTGGAAATATATCACTGTTCCTTCATTGTTGCTGGGTCAAAATCCTGGAATTCCCTCCCTAAGGTAATGGCGGATGAATCTACAGCACATGCAGTGGTTCAAGAAAGCAGCTCACCAACGTCTTCCCAAGGGCAACTAGAAATGCACAACAACTGTTGTCAGCCAGTGACACTCACATCCCACAAGCGAATAAAGAAAGGGGGAACATGAGAATGTGAAATTGGAATACAATATATCAGCCATGATCTCATCAAAAACCAGGGAGGCTCAAGGAGTTGAATGGTTTATTTCTGCTCCAATTTCATAGATCGAGATAATCCAGGAAAATACTGTGTCCTGATGCAGCATCTCTCTTTTATAAGTGAACTTTGCCCAAGACAAAATCAGGTCCATTTCTCAGTTGTAGGTATTCCACAAAGTGACATTGATTGCATAAGCTGTTTTGGACCGGTCATGTTCCAAGGGGAATGGCACACTATGAGCATTCTGCATGCTCCATGTAACTTGTACATGGGACTATCATATGTGCATTTGATTTTATGGTGCAATATTTTGGAAATGTGGATTGTGTAGTGATGGCTGGTCTCTGATATCAACACTGGCATGCCATTATTGCAAACTAGAGGAGCTTTGTTTAAAAAAAAGTTTACAATCCTATATCTGAAAGGAAGCAGTATTAGTAAAAGGGATGGATTTTTAGTATACATGGACATCAATATATATGATCTGATAAGCATTTCACAGACATGACTGAAAGGCTACAAAATGAATGTAGAAGATTATGTGACATATTGGAATAATAGAAAGCGAGGAAAAGTGTTCAATACTGAGGGGTGACCTGATAGCAGTATATAAAATTATGAGAGGGATGAATAGGGTGGGTAGTTGAAGTCTTTTTCCCAGGATGGAAATGTCAAATACTCGGGAGCATAGATTTAAAGTGAGAGGGGTAAAGTTTAAAGAAGACATACGAGGCACATTTTTTATGCAGAGGGTGGTAGGTGTCTAGAACACGCTGCCATAGTAAATGGTAGAAGCAAATACAATAGCTATGTTTAAGAGGCTTTTAGACAGACACATGAATAGGCAGAGAATAGTGAGATACGAACCACGTGCAGGCAGATGAGATTAGTTTAGAATGGCTTCAGGGTTGGCACAAACACGACGGGCTTAAGAGTGTATTCCTGTGCCATACTGTTCTATGTTAAAGGGGTTTGGAATAAAGAAGTCAGGAAGTTTTATTGCAGCTGTACAGGGCACTAGCGAGACCACACATAGCTTTGGTCTCTCTATCAACATTCCCTTTAAGGCATATGGCCACTTCTGGAAGCTGCTGCAGCTTGGAGGTCCATGCAGCACTAGGAAAAATTAGAGTGAACCTTCTCCTAATATGAAAAAAAAAAGCTGTAAAAGCAGTTCAGAGAGTGTTTGTGGAGAAACGTTGAAAACGTTGGGCCTATATCCACTAGAGTTTGAAAGAATGAGAGGTGACATTATTGAAGCACACCAGATTTTGAGGGGACTGGATAGGATGATATCAGTCTGACAGATTTTTGATAGTGATTCTAGGATTATGGGTGGGGCAAAGAGGAGAGTACAGCTGAGACCACAACTGGAACAGCCATGATCATAATGAATGGCGGAGCATACTCAAAGAATCATTTGCCCTACTCCAGTTCCTATATTCCTATTAACATCCCTCACTTCGATGAACACAAAACTCACAAAAATGAATTTCCAGTAAGAACAGGATACAATGCACAATGAATCTAGCTTGTAGATGTGTAAATTTACTAGTTCTCCACCACGACATTTACTGATAACATGAACTCTTAACAATCTCCAGAAATCAATCTGTATACCAATTGCATAAGATAGCATTTACCTGATAAAAACCATACAGGTTGTGCATCTCTCGATGCTCCCATCCACCAGTGTGCACTGCATTCTTGTGCATGGTGAGTTCCGGTCCACTAAATACAGAAGGCTCATTCATGTCATTCCAGACAAAAAGAATATCTGTGGAATCCTGCAACACAGAAATGCATTCCATGGAGTAATAAACTGCTCTCTCATTTCTTTTCCTCCTCTTTGCTCTTAATTATATTCCACGGGCACTTCTTGCCCTAGTTTGTCCACGTGATAACATTCCATGTCTGGGTCTAAATTGTAATTGGGATGAAACCGGTCTTTGGTAAAATAGGCAATTATGAATCAGCAGCCAGCTTACTGTACATAACTGAAAGAAATGAAGAAGAAAGTTAAACAGGGTGGAAAGAGCTAATGGCTCAATTCATCCCTTTTATCACTGTCACCAAGGACAAATTTCACTCTGCTCATGTAGCTTATTTTACTGTGGGGAAGGCACCATATGAGCTCAAATCCAACCCTAGCTTATGTTCACACACTTGCACAGATCACTGAATAGTAACAAATGCAATACCCAAGCTAATTTTTCAACTCCCATGAAGGCACAACTCCAGAAATCCTGGCCCCAAATATGACACTTAACAGTCCAGAGGGGTTTGGGTTTAGTTCCAATTTGTGTATTTGTAGCTCACAAAGCCAACTGCTGGTATGCTGGTTTCAAATGGAACAGCCCACAGGCTGCCCTTGGTGAGATCACCAAATTTAGTTCTGATCCCAAAATGAAGCAGCCATCTTCTGATCTGGAAGAATATACTGAGCAGAATTAAATGTAGGTGCTGGTGGTCTTGCCTGCAAACTGGAGGGGCAGTGAGAGCATGGTGTTGTCTCTTTTTGAGATGAAACACCTGTATTAAATACTGATTGGGACCTCAGGAACAGAAATCCTGCCTGCTGCGAGCTAAACAGAGGTCAGCAGCTTCTCATCGCTTGACAATGGCATCAGGAAGGTGGTAGCTGTTGCCTAAATGCAAACATCCAATGTGCAGGATCACCAAGGGACATAAGTAAGTGATTGCAGAAGGTGTTTGGCAGGGTAGGAGTTGCAGACGAAGTGGGGAGGGGGAGTACAGGAATTCAACAGGATGGTCAGGGGATGGCTCTGAATGGTTCCCTTCTTTCTTAAATGGTTCTCTTGATCAAACACTGAGGGCTAAACTTTCACTCTATGTCAGGAACACAGAGTCAGGGCTGTCGTTGGCCACGTGAACCAACTCAGAGCAAAAGTAGCCTCGAAGTTGAGACCCTGGCAGAGGGTTATTAAAATTGGAGCTGTGATAAATGACCACAATAACATGCAGAGGGCAGAGGGCAGATGGCTTACCTCTGTACATCTGTACACTGTCAAAAATTTGAAAACAAACAAAAAACAGCCCTCACACCCCCAGATGCTCACCATATCCCACCCCTGCAAACTCCTACTCCCTTGGTAACCTCTGCCCCTGTATCCACAGCCCACAGTCCTTTATCCTTGCTAAGTCAATTTACTGGCAACCCATGCCCACCATTATAATAGAATCATGGAACCATAGAATCCCTACAGTGTGAAAACAGGCCATTCAGCCCAACAAGTCCACACTGCCCCTCCGAAGAGCATCCCACCCAGACCCATTCCCCATGTCTAATGCACCTAACCTAAACACCCCTGGGTACTATGGGAAATTTAGCATGGCCAATCCACCTACGCTGCACATCTTTGGACTGTGGGAGGAAACCGGAGCACCCGGAGGAAACCCACGCAGACATAGGGAGAATGTGTAAAATCCACACAGACAGTCGCCCGAGACCGGAATTGAACCCGGGTCTCTGACACTGTGAGGCAGTAGTGCTAACCATTGAGCCACTGTGACCCCACCCCCCCACACTCCCCACATCCCCATTATGTGTCCTTACATCATGCAAACTGAACTTTCATGGCCAGATCTCAGGACCTATGCCGAGAGGATATAGAGTTCTTAAATGCCTGTTGAACGGTTCACTATTTAAAAAAGAAAACTCATCAATGAAAACCTATTCACCACATTTAATTCCCTTAATTCCTTATAAAATAAGCACTGGAATTCCTAGTTCCAGGACAAAGAAGGTGCAGCTGGTTGCAGCTGTGAAACTATGGAATGACAGACATCAGATTGTGATAACAAAAGGTTGTCAAAACAATCATGCAGCATTAATCCTGTAACAATAACATTCAGGTTTAGGCCAATAGACAGCAACAAATAGAATGCACTGATTCTTTTGCTGGCTTTTTTCCAAGAATTTTAAATGCATCGAAAACTCTTCGACAACTGCAATGACAGTTTCAATAAGTTATGGTCCTTTTATGCACTTTTAACAATCCCAAAGGAAACATTTCCTCTCCCATTGATGTCCCTGGACCATGTCCAAAAGAGCATCCTAACTCTCTAAAAGAGCATCTACCTCTCCAAAGGACTCCGGCTGCTTTGGACTTTCTCCCAGCAAGTCTAAAGTGTACAAGTTACATTTTCAACATTTGAACACAAGCGAAAGTCAGATAATATTAAATTGTGTAGTTGCCCCTATGAAGTTTAAATATGTAAATTATAAACCACCCCAAAAACCAACCAAAATTCCTGTGAAAATGGTAATTTCTGGAGTTGTGCCTTTGAAGCCATTTTTGTAATAGGCTTCCCTTTTTTTATGAAAGTTAATGAAAGGACAGCTCTTCTGGTTTATGAATATTTAGGCCTGAATATTTGTGAATGAGGTATACCACCACCCAACTACCCCTAGTTTGTGGATAACATTTAAGGAAGCTACACATTAATTAAAACAATTGTTCATACATATCAGCCACAAAAATAACTTTAAAAATAAATTAGGGGTAGCATTCAATCCAAACAGGAGACATATAAAATTATCAGAAAAGATCTGAGGACTGGTAGAGGTTTAGAATTCAGCAACAAAAGAGGACATAAACTTTGATCAAAATATGAAGTATGAATAAACTTGCAGGGCACATAAAAACTGACTTTGAAAGCTTCTATGAAAGATTAGCAAAGACAACTTACAGTCAGAAATTGGGGAAATTACATTTGGGAACAAAGAAATGTCAGAAGAATATTTTCTGAAGGTTCTGCCTCACAGCACCAGGGACCCAGATTCGATTCTACCCTCAGGTGACTGTCTATGTCGAGTTTGAACATTCTCCCAGTATCTGCATGGGTTTCCTCAAGGTGCTTCGGTCTACTCCCACAATCCAAAGATGTGCAGGTTAGCTGGATTGGCCATGCTAAATTGCACATAGTCTCCAGGGATGTGTAGGCTAGGTGGGTTAGACATGGGAAATGCAGGGGTAGGGGAATGGGTGGGATGTTCTTCAGAGGGGCGGTGTGGACTTGTTGGGCCAAATGGCCTGTTCCCACACTGTAGGGACTCTATGATACTCTACAAAAGTCAGTATTAGCAAAAAAAAATTAATGAAGTTAATGATTGACAAATCCCCAGGGGCTGATAATCTGTATCCCAGAATACTAAAGGACGTTGCCCTAGAAATATTGAGCGCATTGGTGGTCATCATCCAAACTTTTTGATTCTGAAGAAGAGCTATATTGGTCTTGAAACATTAACTATGTTTCTCTCTTCATAGACGCTGCCAGATCTGCTGAGCTTGTCTAGCTCAGTGTTCATTTCAGATTTCCAATATCTGAAGTATTTTCCCTTTGTTATATATTATTGCTCTTATCCATTATGTGCCTCTCTGGTTTTTGCATGAGACAGATTCTCTGCCATTTCTTACAACTCAAGCAAGATCAGAGAACTTCACACAGGAGAGCTGGCACAAGTGCATGACCCCCAGAAAACCCTTGGGCTCACAAAAAAGGTAAAGTCACCATAGTCTTAGAAAACCAAAAGGCTTCACTCTCATTAGAGACAACTGGTGGCAGTTTCATCTGGGGTCACCATGCTCAGGTGAGGAGGCGGATTGAGAAGGGGAGTCCTTCATAGTAACCTCTGCTCTGTTGGTTCATTCTGCATTGCAAATCAGCTATCCAACTGAGCTAAACTGACCCCATTCATATTCAATCCATTCACTGTAAAGTCAATGAAAAACAAGTTATGGTGTTGCAGGGTATGTTACAAAAAACAAAATTGTTATATGCATACTGCAAACACTATTCTGCTGCATGCTTCTGTTCTTGGAAATACTGACATACAATCACACAGAAATCTCAAGTACAAAGGAGGCCACTTTTTGGTTGTAGTGATTCTCTAGATATGCAGTACATCTGATTTCACACAGTTTTTATAAATACTTTATCCCTTCTCCTGACAATCTGAAAACAAATGGATATTGTTTTAAAGCATGATTTTTTGCAGGTGGATCAAATAAAATCAGTTAACTTGCGACTTGACATTTAAAGGGTTCATGAGGTGCAGTTGTAGTGTCTCTACCCCTAAGCTAGAGCACCCAGGTTCAAATCCCACCTGCGCCAGAAGTGTGTAATACCATGGCTCAGCAGGTTGATTAGAAAATATATGTGACTTTATGGTAAGGGCTCTTGTGGTGCAGTGATAGTGTCCCCAAGACTGAGCAGAGGCCCTGGGTTCAAGTACTGCCTGTTCCAAAGGTGTGTAATAACATCTGATTCCTGGGATGGCAGGACTGATGTATGCATTTTGGTAATGCAACCAAGGAAGAACTTATAGAATTAATGGTAGGGCTTAGGTAGTGTGGCACAGTGGTAGTGACCCCCCCTGTGAAGCAGGGGACCTAGAGGCATCTAAGGGCATCTCCGAAAAGTTGATTAGGAAAATATCAGTGACTTGACGGGTTAAATTGGTAATTGATTCAGAAACATGGTTTATTTATTGATGGAGGTTAAAAGAGAAAAGGTTTAGTTGGTGGGAAAAAGAGTTCTGTAACTTGATGGATAGGTTTTTGTAACACATCGGTAGCATCCCTACTTTTGCGCTAGGAGGCCTGGGTTCAAGTCCCATCTACTTCAGAGGTGTCATACCATAACCCAAAAGACTAATTAAAAATATCGGTGATTTGATGGGTCAAACCTTTCAACTCCCACCTCATTCCCCTTTATTATAATCACATTTTTATGACTGCTGTTCCTCTGAATCTCCTCCTCTCCCCAGAAATTCTAAAACAGCTTCCTATACATTTCTCATCCCTTCAATGACAGTATTCTTAAATCAAGAGATGTCTCATTGTCTCCCACTCTCACACATTCTGCCTCAAAACTATTAAATAATGTATCTTGTTTCTTTGGTCTTCTCTACTACAGTCAAGAACCAATCTGGTGTGCTCTATTTATACTCTGACTTCTTTTCCCCTGCAATCTTCAACTGTAGCAGCAAAATGAGCATGAGAATGAATCTTTTAAGGTAATTACCTTGTACTGGTCTAATCCATGCTTGTTGGCATACCAGTTACGGACTATGGGATTCGTGAAATCTAAATAGGCTGACACACCTAATAATGCACAAAAATACAAAGAAAATTCCTCTTTATTAGCAACTTGCAAAAACCTGGCACTCGTGATGGGAGTGGACAGCAGGATACTTAAACTTGTGATGTACTTGGACCAGAGCAGAATTGGAGAATTCACACCATGGAACCAGCAGCAAATCATACTTATATGAAATAAAGAATTAGTATATATAGAGATAGTAGGAACTGCAGATGCTGGAGAATCCGAGACAACAAGGTGCAGGGCTGGATGAACACAGCAGGCCAAGCAGCATCATAGGAGCAGAGAGGCTGACATTTCGGGCCTAGACCCTTACATACTTTTAATCAACTTGCTCAGACAGTTGACAGCTAAATATCTAATGTAGCAGCTACTGCAAATGAGTGAAAGGCCACAATCACTTTTCACATATTAAAGTCTCACAAATCATAAAATAAATATCCAGGCAATTTGTTTTTTTGATATCAGCTGAAGATGAAAGTTGACAGAAAGAACTTCCATCCACCGAGTCTAGCTTACATGTTGAACTCAAACCCTTCTGACCCAGATGCAGCAGCTTCTCTGCTGAGCTTAGGCTGACATCAGAGAGAGCGAGAGAGCATGAGAGGGAGCAAGAGAGAGAGAGAGCGTGAGAGCGAGAGCAAGAGAGAGCGTGAGAGCGCGAGAGCGACAGCAAGACAATGAGAGTGCTCTAGTGAACAAGTAAATGGCAATTAAAGTAACGTAAAATACTGAGAAAATTTTATTCACGCACATTTTGTCAGGTTTGATGCCTGAATATTTTTGAAAAAATACTACTGCACACTTTCAAATTAAAAAAACCCAGAAACTGTTAATCACTTAAGAGTTTTCAATGTTCGCTTACCTGGCCAACAGGAGCCCTGGTACTCCTCACCATCTTTATCCATGACAAAGTACTTCTTGGATTTGGCTTCACAGTAGAATGGGTACTTCTTGTCTACTTTGACGTGAGGATCAATGATAACAACTAACTGGAGACATAAGAAAACACAACGATCTCCGTAAACTGGGTAAATGTTTGTCTAAAGGAATGTGTATGGTGCATTTTATACCTCCTTCCATCCTCTGAAGGTGCTGATTTTGCCAGGACATTTCTGGAACTATGAACATTCTGTACTCACATCTTCAACAATGAGTCATGCTCAGCTATCCAACATGCAGGGAGAAAGGGGTGAGTGATATTGGTGCGACTGTGTCTAATTGCAATCTGGAAATCTATCCATCTGCTGTCCATCTTGGTTCAATGACAGCATAAGTAAGAGGGTTATGGATTCAAGTTTGTGCTTCAGGTAGCTGAGTACATAATCACGACTAGCAGTTCTACTTCAGTACTGAGGAAAGCTACGCAGTCATTTTTTAGTTGAGGCATTAAATCAATGCTTCAACTACTCTCTTAGGTAACGTAAAAGATCCCATGGCACTATTCAACAGTAAGCAAGTTCTTCCAATCTCCTAGCCAACATTTATCCCTTAACAAACACTATCAGCTTTCTTATGTCTGTGCATACAACTGGCTGTTGTGGATCCTACAGCAGAAATTAAACTTCAAAGTACTTCATTGCCTGTGGTGTGCTTTAGGATATATGAAAGTCAACAAAGCCACTCTATCTGAATGTTATAAATCAAGAATTGTACCAGGTTAAAAGTAATGAAAAAAATGCATAGGACAAAACTGGAAGGCAAGGTCTGTTGCTTAAATTAGGCTGAACAAAGCGTACAAAACAAAAGAACAGAATTAAAAGTATAATTCCAGTTTGAAGTGTATTAAGAAAGAAAGGCTGGAATTTACTTTGTGAGGTTACATGGCCAGAGGCTGCCCCAAGGTGCTTTGTAGCAAGTAAAGTACTTTTGAGCAGTAGTCACTTTATAATGCAAGAATCACAGCAGCTAATTTTCAAATAGTAGTTCTCATAAACGGCAATGGCTGGATAATGTTGGCGGAGGGATAAATATTGGTTAGGATACAGGGTAAACTCCTTTTCTTTTCTTCAAAATAGTGTTAGGGGATCTTTAAGTTAATCTGAGAGGATTTATAGCCTCAGTTTAACATCTCATCTGAAATGTACTGCATTAGAGTGTCAGCCTAGACTTTTGTGCTAAAGTACTGGATTGGGATTTAAACCCACCACCTTCTGACTCAGTGGCAACATTTGGCCCCTCTGGGCCAAAGATGACTCCACATAGCAAAGTGGCCATCATGAAATCCTGGCTACAAGCTTGACACAGCTGGGAGACAAATATTCTAGCTATAATAAGGTACTTAAAGAGGACAAGGAAGTTGGAAATGGAGGAACAGTAATCTTTAGAAAATGCAATACTTATAGCATTAGAAAAAGGGGGCATTGCCAGGAGTGAGCAGCAGCAGTAAGTCTCTGGATAGGTAGCATTGAGGAACAAAAGAAAATAAAAATTACAAGATTTTGATATGAATTATCTACAGACTACCTAGTAGCAGTGATAATGTAACAGGATGCAAAAATAATGGAATGAGATGAATGGCTTATTGCAGACAACTTTTTTTTCCACATAGTTTGAGGAAAACTAAACAAGTCCCAAAAGTGACAAACTCCTTTTTTTTTTTAAGTTTTCCTTACTTTTCCTTAACTCTTGGATTTTTCAATTAATCCAAATTTACTTCCCTCTATTTCACTTTCTATACCTCATATTAAATGAAACCATTTGTCAGCCCTATGTTATTTATTTCTCAATTCTTTAACCTCATTAGCTAAGTAGATACATTGCCCTGCTGATTCACCAGGATATCAGATGCCCTGTTTTCCTCACCACCTTTGTCAGTTTGCACTTTTGAGGACAAAATAGTTTGAAATCTAAAGGTGAATGAACAAGTTTAATTAGCAGGGCATGCTACAAGATACCCTACTCCAGAATAATGCGAACCAATGTGTTCTTGAATGCATGACAAAACAGACTACATTAGATTTCATGATGAGCAATGAGCCAGAAAACTGGTCAACATTGGTGGAACACTCACCTCACAGTGACCACAATATAACTGAATTAAGTTAAGGTAATTAATAATAAGTTCAAAGGTAGAACAATGAGTCACAGTTCTAAGTTTCAATAAGGCTGACTTTGAAGGGATGAGGCAGACATTGACCACCGTATGCTGGTTCAAACTGTTAATTAGTAAAAGTACAGATGAACAATGTGAAGGTGTTCAAAGAGGCATTTAGTTAAGTACAAGTCTTGTATATAGCCTATACAGCAAGAGCATCCTTTTGTAACCAATCAGTAAATGAAATGAGAGACAATATAAAATTATAAGAAATGGCAGCAGAAACAACAGTCACATGCCCGAGAAGACAATTATGCGGTAATATTGCCACCTGTCCAGTAATCCAAGTAATATTCTGGAGCTCTGGGTTCAAAACCCAGCAATGCAAATGCGAACCCTGAGGTCAATAATTTTTTTTAAAATTCCAGAATGTAAAGAAGTCTAATGATGCCATCCTTCCCAGGTCTGGCCTACATGTGACTCTAGACCCACAGTAATGTGCTGATTCTTAACAGCCCCCTGGGCATTAGGCATGGAAAATAAACACTGGCCTAGCCAGCGACACTCACATCCCACGAATAAATTTTCTGAAATAAAAAAATTGACCCATTTGTCATAACAGGCACAGTGAATGCTTAAGAAACTGAGGAAGTCTGGCAGGAATTGGTGCAGTGTAATGACTTGATTATATTCTTCCTCACTTACCTTCCGATCTTTAGCTCGTAGGTACTCTTGCATTTCTCGAGGTCTAGAAAATTTTGTCCTGTCCCAGGTAAAATAACGTTTCCCCTCAGTGTGGTCAATGTCAAGCCATATGACATCATTAGGAATGTCATTCATGTCAAAGCCAGCATCTACTTGTTTAACATCATTTTCATCCTTGTAGCTGTAGCGGCACTGGTGGTGACCCAATGCAAATAGAGGAGGAAATGCCTGAAGACCTGTAGGCCAAGAAAAACATTATTACATAATCCAATAGGGATACAACTTTCAGAATATTTGTTAAAAAGATTCAACCCCCCCAAATACTATCCCATAGATACAGCACGATGCACGCTGCAGATTCAAACAAAACAGAGAATTCCAAGACTAATTCAAGGTTGTTCTGAGTTTGATGTCATTAGCTGGAGTTCTACTGTTGGTCTCATTCTCTCTTGAACTAGGAAGAGGAAAATCAATCACTAATCCACTAACTCCAAATAAAGAGTGCAAATGTTTGTTGGAAACTGTACTGGATTCAACTACTGGAAATATTTAACAAGTCAGGCAACATTTGCAGAGCGTGAACGGTTCAGGTCTATGATTATTCATCAGAGGCGGAAAAAGGTCTTTATTTCAGATTTCCAGCATTAGAGACACAAATTACTTATTTGCAGTCAAGCACGCACATACCTGTCAGCCTTGAGTACTGATTGAAAACATCAAAAGCACTGGGACCCATCAAAATAAACGCATCAATTATTCCACTCTCGGACATCCACCGTACATCTGTCCTCAGTAACACATCATCATCAGTCTTTAATTTTTTTGTCTTGCTCAATGAAGTCTATAAAAAAAAGTTTAGTTATTAGATCCTTGATTACTGAATCTATGTGCAGATTCTTATGTCACCTTTATTTCACTGCCTTCATTCAAATTCTCCCACTTTATGGCCGCATAATGCTCCCTCAACATTTTCAGTACAGTTCATGAGCATTAAGAGTCTGTTGCTGGTAAGCAGCAAATAATGCTCATGCTATGTGAGCTTGCAGGATACAAGTTATAGGAGCAGGAAATTGAACTGACCTTATTATAGCTCACATTTCACACTTGTTTATTTCAAAAATAAAAGTTTATTTCTACATTATCTAAACAAGTTAAAAATAATTGAAAACTACAACAGATCTGGTGATCTAATTTACTTTCTTAATATCTTATTTTAGTATCCTATCATGAGACATTGTCAACTATGCAACCAGCCAATCTCTGCTCACTTTGTTAATTGCCAGTCACCAAACTGAGTAATTAATGCTGGCCAGAACTTCAGTGAAAAACAGCTGACAAACCTGATGGAATATAATTTTTACCTGAAAGAATTCACCTCCTACAGAACAACATTCCTCCAGGATTGCACTGAAGTGTCGGTCTAAATTAGAAACTGAACGAAATGCGGATGCTGTAAATCAGGAACAAAAACAGAAGTTGCTAGAAAAGCTCAGCAGGTCTGGCAGCATCAGTGATGAAAATATCGGAGTTAACATTTCGGGTCTGGTGATCCTTCCTCAGAGGTCATCAGGAAGGATCACCAGACCCGAAACATTAACTCTGATATTTTCATCACTGATGCTGCCAGACCTGCTGAGCTTTTCTAGCAACTTCTGTTTTTGTTGTCAGTCTAAATTACTTGTTAAAGTCTTTGTGCCTAATGTCTTGACTTAAAAATTGTGAGGGGAACTACTGAACTACGGCTGAGACATATATATTATGGGTCAACAAAGGTGACCAGGGAGAAATTTGTGATACTAGCAAGATTTTGAAAAGCTGAATGCAAAGGCAGAACTTAATTAAATGCCGTTAACATCAAAAGTAATCAAGGCAACTTATGAGCTATCTGATGAAGAGTCACCAGACCAAGAAAGCATTAACTCTGTTTTCTCCCCACAGATCCTGCCAGACCTGCTGAGTTTTGCCAGCAATTTATGTTTTTGTTACCCACCTGATTCCTCAGTCAGATATTATTGCATATATAAGAATCAACTGGTATGGAATAAAAAGATTTCACCTGACAACCTTTCTTAATTTCTTTGAGGACTTTACACAGATGTAGGTGGTATGCTGGATATTGCAGCAAATTACTTAGGTTTTTGCAAAGCATTTGGCATAGATGTACTCAACAGATGCCTTACAAATCTAGAGTGCAATGTGTAGTATCCACAGTTGCCCATTTTACCCAGGGTCAGTTGCATGCTTTGTTTCTGAACTCACAACTCTGATCTTTAATAGGGCTGTTATAATCCTATTGGTTGTTATTTCAAGACACCTCAGATACTAGACTGAAATCTGGCTTGATAAATAAAAAAATTAAAATAAAATCTAACAAGGTAGTATTTCGGTGAAATACAAGCATGCAATGCTGCAAACTGGTTTTAAGCGATAAAACAGAAGTTTATTACACAAAACAAAGGATAAAATAGAACATAATAAGCTTTACATAAAATATAATTTGAAAGATTGTGAAATACTGAGTAAAAGTAAAATCCCATGTGTTCCAACAGCATCCCTTTACAGTACTCAAACACAACTGAATTCTGACCTGTTACTTTCAACTTCCACTCCGAGAATCTGATGGACTCTGCCTTGGGTATTCTCAGAAGTGGACATAGACTTTCATAGCTTCAAGTAAACTGTTGATGGTTGTAACTAGATACTTCTCGTCTGAAACTTTCACAGTAAATCTTTATATTGAGGCAACCTGTTCCTATCATTTCTGAATTAATTCCTTGCTCCAGAATCACATTCTTACACCTCCCTTCAACCAGCACTTCGGTGAAGTGATCAAAACCAGAGCTTTTTTCACTAAGCAAAAAAAATCAATTCTTATCCTTCCAACTGCATGGAGGCTAATGCTTTTTATAATGTTTACTCTGTTCACTCATAAAACTCTGCCAATGCAAACAAATACCTATTAGCACTCTAGGAACTCCCTCTGTCATGTTGGTTTCAAAAACATTACAGCTGTAGACATACTGACAACTTAATCATTAAATCCTCTCAGACAAACAGACCAAAAGACACATATCATGAGTTCAAAATCCAAACTTTAAATTAAATAATATTAAAATATATATAAATCATAAACCTTACTCTGCAGAGCACACATATTGTGGTTCCTTATGCCTTACTTTGGTCAATTGTGTAAGCTCACAGACTAAGTACATAGGATGCAACTCTTGGACAGATGCCTTTGCTTGACCCAGAAATGTCATCTCACTTTGTAGCAGACAAAGTCTACTATGAATATGGCAGATATGCTATATTTTCCAACTGAGATAGAACAGTAATGTGGAACATGGAAGTCATCAATATAGGTGCACTAAGCAGGTCATCCTCTGCAACCGACTTGATCTTTCATCATCACAACTTTATCATGTCATTACATTAAATTTCACTTGCCATTTGTCCACCAATTTCAATATTCAAAAAGATTTTGTTCAACTTTGACATTTACTATTTTCAGCAGTTTTAAATTTCTGAAAATTTAGTAAATTTAGCTTTACGTACTGGATCACCAGCATACTTCAGGAGCACTGTGCTATTTGTGCAGAAGATAAAAAACAAAATTCCCGAGGAGATCTATAATTCATTCAGATGGGTTCCAAATAGATCCCAAAAACTAACACCCATTGGATCTTGTTATGAAGGAAATCACTTATCCAGAGTAGGATTAACATCAAGTATTTTTTCAATATCGCAACAAGCTTGCTACTAAAGGCAAAGGAGAAATCAACAAAGATGATGCAAGTTGTTGGATCAAGGTCAGAACAGTAGCCACCACTGATTTATAATGTTGACAAGCGAACTGCAACTGATCAAGTCATGGAACAAAAAGGAGTTGAATGATGTAGGAAGTTGGGAAAATACGATGAGAATGAAAAAAATAGCGATACTCAACATTGAAAAAAAATCTGATTCTCTGCATGAGAATTAATGGCTAGATGAGAATTTTGATGTATTAAAGTCTCATTATTACCTGATTCCCAGAAGGAAAACTTGCAAATCACACATATTGGTCCAACCTGTTTTGTACACTTCAAAATACAGATCTAGTATCAATTTTCAAGTGTTACTGTTTTATTTTGCTAGATTTTTCCCTGGATCTCACCTCATTTCTATGGGATTTGGTATTTTCACAGGTAGCAGAAAGAAAGCAAATTATGCCAATTCCCAACATGAAAAAGTGAGCCGTTACTAGGCAGCTGTAGCTTGCCTGTGTCTTCTCCAGGCCTCCCAATCATGGTTATCACTCCCCAATATCTCAGGTAATGCTCCACAAGCAGAAATTGCCTGCACCCTCTGTCCATGGAGGTTGGTTTCAGCAAAACACCAGGCTCACCACAGCATCACAGCACGTTTGGGACTCAATTACAATACAGTTCCGCACTTCAGTACTGTTCTTTGGAGCTTAGTGACACTTTTGATTGTAGTGAAGATGTTAGGCCTCTTTGTCCACAAGGGCAGGTATCTATCTCATCCATTTAACAGGTGCATCTCAGAACTCTTAGCACTCATTCAATTTGCAATTACTTGGTTGCTCACAGCACCTTTACCTTATCTTACCTGTTTGTGTATTATGCATCATTTAGAACTTACAGGTTCAGAGTAGTTCTGCTTTGCCATGCCTCTTAGCTCAGACAGAAAGACAGGCAGTTTATCATATTTCAGTCAGTGAGTTCAGGCAGTTTATCAATGAGTCAGTCAATGAGGCTGACATGCTACATCGATGAGACATCTACAGCATATTCCAGCAACTTCACAGCAAATACACTGCATCTGCTTCAACCTAATAGTCACGTCCGAAAACCTAAAGGGAGTAGTCCTTAGTCCAGTTAAGGGAGGCTATGGTCAGTCAATGGCAGAATCCAATCTCAGTCCAGGGGCTTGGACATGGTCTGCTGGATTCTTGGTATAATTTGCTCCAGGAAATCATCTCACTGCAGGCCAGGAAGTGGATCATGGTCTGTCCTGCAGGTCGGGTCCACAGTCTGATGACTAGTGATATTATTCTGGGAGCTGTACATTAATCAGTCAGGGTTGCTGTTCTAAGTCAATCAGGAGAGTTGGGCACGGTCAGTCTAGGCAGTGAAAGCTAAGCGAGGGACTATCAATGGCAGTGCTGTGGTGCAAAGTTGTAGTGATTGATGGCAGCATGCTGGGATGCAGAAGGACAATTGCTGTTAAGGGGACCAAGTCAACACATATGGTGGGAGACACTCGAACATGGGAGGGCACAGGGTATTATGGGAGGGGGATCATCAGTGGTCTTCACCACCTTAGCTTCAAGATGGAGCAGAAAATGCACAATCATGCATTAAATAGTAGATCTAGAAAATTGAATTTTAAATAAAAAAGGGTTGGATGGGAACATTGGGAGGCTCAAACCTAATGGGGTTGACAAGGATTGCAAGGTAGAAAGGAACAGGAAGGCTGGAAGTGGCACTAGAATAACAGGAGGAGCCTGCACCTGACGCTCCAGAGGCCTAGCTTTGTTGCCTTCAATCTTTATCGAAATCACCAGTAGGCAATGAAAATGAAAAATGGCTGCCAGCACGCCCAGAGTCGGGGGAGTAAGTTTTTTTTTTGTCTGCGACAGTGGGCTCCACTTGTGTGCAATGTGAGGTCCTTCAAGAGGCAATTGCATTAATCAGGCACTCTCACATTCCAGATTACAAACATCTGTAATCACAAAATGCAGCATATTACCTTATACAGTGACTAACTATGTAGATTGCAAATACAGGGCACAAGCAATCCTGACAATGATATTAAGGATGACAACTTAATCTGAATAATCTCTATGAAGCAGTTGCAATCACAGCTGGTTTATTAAGTGCTACCTGCAGTCTACAATTCCCTAAACACATTCCAAGGTTGCATAAGGACCTACAGCAGCTTTCCTTGTACATTGGACTGTAATATACACTGGACTCTTATATGCAATGCTGCCAATCTTGGGTCATGCAGGGGCCTGAGGAGGACAATATGGTTGTGTTTCTATCAATTTACTATCTTCTACTGCTTGTACACAACATTGTTTCTTCAGTAAAAGATCCATGGAGAGACATCCTATGGCCCTCCTTGGTGGAGGCCTTCATGCCCAACAGTATTGAGGACACTGGTAAACTGTCATTTGTGTGTGATGTGACTGCTGAATGATCACATCGCTTATGATCACATTGTTTTGTATCTGACATTTTTCACATAGGCTCATTGGAACTGTCACCAATGGATCCAGACACACCAGGTGTTATTGTCACTGTGGTTGCAGAACAACCAAAGGTTATGGAAATTAAGTAGCAACACACCTATGTTTAAACACACCACCAGTTGTAATGAGATAGCAGTCTTACGGTCATATGGGACAATGGCAACTTTACCTTTTCCGTAATATTCTACAACCCCACAACCCACTGACATATCCGTACTCATCTAATTTCAGATTCTTGTACTTTTCCAATTGTAATTGTTTCTGCATTTGTGGCTGTATCTTCAGTTTCCGAAGCCCCAAGCTCTGGAATTTCCTTCCTACATCTCTCCACCTCTCTTCCCGGTGTTAAAACCTTTCTTAAAACTTACCTCTTTGACCAAACTTTTCTTTACACTGATCTACTATCTCGTCATGTGGATTAATATAATTGTTTTATAATGCTCCTGTGAAGTGTCTTGTGATGTTTCATCATGAAATGGTGTCCAGAATCTACACTCTCTTCAACTGGAAAAAGCAGGAAATTGCACCTTGGATTTCACCAAAATGGCTAATGGCATTCCACGGTCTGATCACTGTAATTTGGCTTTTAAGGTGCCAGCTTTATATAAATTAAAAGGTCATGGGTTCAGCTTCCACTCCAGATATCTGAGCAGGCAATGTGGACTCAGGCTTCACAGCAGTACCCAGGAAGTGTTGTTCTGTAGCGGGTAACATCCTTCGAGAGTTATTAAACAAAGAAACATTCGCTCCAAACAAGCGAATAAAATAGTCTCTTCAGTTCTGGATAAAGAGCAGTAGAGATTCTCCCCAGTTCCCTGGTCAAAATTAATTCTTTAGTCAGCACGGCCAACATAGATTGCCTGGTCATTTGTATATTGGCTGCTTTTGGAAGTTTGTAGAGTGGAAACTGGCTGTTGCCTTTCCTTCATTATAACCATGATTAGAATGCAAAAATAACCATTGGGCTGCAACATATTTTGAGATACCCCACGGTCATGAAATTTAAATAATCATTTCCTCAAATTGGATCATTACACCTAACATGAAATGCATTGGAACATCGCTCAATCACGATCTCGTACACGTATTCAGCCAGTAAAGATCCTGCACCCACCTTACACTCTGTATTCAGGCTGATATCCACCAATGTCTCAGAAGCATTTAGCCAGAAAATCCCCATGGTTTGGTTTTGTTTATGTGCAAGGAGGAGAGGCACAGAGCCATACATGCCCATTCGACTGTGGAGTTTACACGCAAATACATCCAGGTTATACAACCTGTAGGGATCTTCTTGACTGCAAATATATAAAATCAACCAATGATTATTCTATTTATATAATCATGAAGATGTGTACCCCTTGATATCTACGACTAATGACTCACTGTAGTCATGCATCAGTCATTTCCCGAAGATTCAATTTGTACATCACATTTTATATATGTGATCGGGCCATACAAATCAGGTTTAAGCCCCAAGTCCAGTTTTGTCTCGGTCTCAGCTGGTGGTAGAGATAATAGACGTGGCAAGAGCTTTGTAAAGTGAGTAGGGATGGTGGGAAGGACAGAGCTGATCATTCAGTGTTCCCCTTGCTGATGGTATCTAGTTAATCATGCTGGAAGGACTTACAACAATCATCATTTCTGGACACCAACGAAGCAAAGCCGCTTCAGTGAGGAAAGACCAATGGAGCTGTACTGAGCAGGAGTTAGCATTTTTAAGAGAGCATGATAAAAATAAGCTGGAGGGTTTGAATCAAAGGAAGTTGAAAAGCAGAGAGTTGCTACGTGACATCTATAGCCCTACTTGCTCTCCAGAGGTAAATCAATCACTATTCTAAACACCTGCTTCTTTTTGAAGTCATTCCTGATCGGCTTCAATTAATTCATGCCAAATTGAACCAGAGTTGAACCTACTGATGGGTACAAGTCTGGAAGACTCTGTTTTACAGTCAAACATTAGTTACAAGACTCAGGTTACTCCCCTCAATTGCGCCAGCTCCTACCCTGTAGTTTTCAGCCGTAGGTTCTCAGTGTGCTCTGGAATTCCAAAAATGTACTCGAAACCAGGCAGGGAGAAATCCAAGCCAACAGATGTTGGGCCTATTGTTGGAGGAAAAATAATTTAAGGGATTCAGACTTTTTAAAAATCATCCATATCAATATTCTTTTATAAACCACTCTCTTTTAAACAAAAGAAACTTTGTTTTCTTTCCAGAAGACAGAATCACAATGTCAAGAAGACTTAACTTCACAATGATAATTTGGGGAAAAGTTAATAATCGCTTGGGCAGAAGCAAGTTAATTAAAGAAAGGTACCATGCTTTATTAAGAGTAAATCATGTCCAATTAACTTGAAGAGTTAACAGAGGGTTCATGTGGATTGTAGATGTGGTGCGGCTACTAGTAGTGCACAGCAATTTCCAAAAGGCTTTTAGTACAGTGCCACAGAACAGCAAACGTATGGCTTTTAGAAAAAAAGACACAATAGCAATATGGGCAAAAGCTTGGTGGAGTTATAAGAAACAGTGTGTTTTGATAAATGGATTTTCTTTGGACTGAGTGTGGTTTGTAGTAGACATCCTTTGTCTACTGGGGTTTAGTGTGAGAGTGAGAGTGAGAGTGAGAGTGAGAGTGAGAGTGAGAGTGAGAGTGAGAGTGAGAGTGAGAGTGAGAGTGAGAGTGAGAGTGAGAGTGAGAGTGAGAGTGAGAGTGAGAGTGAGAGTGAGAGTGAGAGTGAGAGTGAGAGTGAGAGTGAGAGTGAGAGTGAG